TTTCTGTGTCACCCTGATTAGCCAATGGGAAGCATGTCGGAGCTATGGTTAATTACCATGTTTGTCTATTATTAGATAGGATTTCATAGAAATAGAAGCATCAATGATGAGAGATAATCATTGATTGGCTGCCTTCTGCATGCCTCACACTAGGGATCGACCCACAACCTGGGCATGTACCCTTGACTGGAATCAAAACTGGGACCCTTTGGTCTGCAGGCCGACTTCTATCCACTGAACCAAACTGGCTAGGGCCTTATCTTTTTAGATGTATCCCTTGTAAATACCCTATAGGTACTTTAAAATAAAACTCCCATTTCACAATCTTTGATTTTAACTGAATAGTTGAGTCCATTTCCATGCTTTAGGATTACTTATATACTTAGATTTATGTTGTTTCTACTTGTTTTGTTTTTGTTAACTCACTTTCCTGCCTTTCTTTGTGGTTTTGTTCCTCCATTCTTTTCTTCTAGTTCAAAAATTCTCTCTACCTGCCACCAGTCCCTTCCTCCCTCTTAATGGCTGCCCTAGTTACTTTAACATGCACTGTACACTTAAGTCAATGTCTGTCAATCACTTGAAAAGGACCTTAGAATGCTTTAATCCAGCAATTTTTAACCTTTTCCATTTCATGGCACACATAATTACTAAAATTCTACTGCACACCAAAAAAGTATTTCCCAATCTTACAAAAAAAAAAAAGGCATAATTTTGATTCATTTATACGGAACAGCTATTGTTGTTGGCTGTTGTCATCTTTTGACAATCTTTAAGGGAAAAGAGGTCAGTGCGCCTAAATAGCATGTTTTAAAAATTCTTGTGGCACATCAGTGTGCCTCTTGTTTAACACTGGTTGAAAACTGCTGCTTTAACCCAATAATTCCCAAATTTGTTTCTCAAAATTTTAGCTCTCTTAACTCCAGAAAATAGACATCATTGTTTTATACTCACTATTCCTTTAATAAAAACATTTATTTATTTATTTATTTTTTAAAATATATTTTATTGATTTTTTACAGAGAGGAAGGGAGAGAGATAGAGAGTTAGAAACATCAATCAGCTGCCTCCTGCACATCTCCTACTGGGGATGTGCCCGCAACCCAGGTACATGCCCTTGACCGGAATCGAACCTGGGACCTTTCAGTCTGCAGGTCAACGCTCTATCCACTGAGCCAAACCGGTTTCGGCTAATAAAAACATTTATATGAAAAGTTCTTTTGCCTATTTAACCCTTGGTATATTTTAGTCTGGTCACCAGCATTTTCTCATTTTACAGACCAACCTATTTCCCACAAGATTCCTGATATAGAATTACCAGGAATTCCCTGGCTCCATATGCTAATTAACTCCACCAAGCTAAAGCAGACTCTCCCTAAAGTTCACTCCTCCAACTATTGTTTATCTTACAAGCCTTGAATGACAATTTAGGTGTCCAATGTTCAAGTCACTAATATCTATAGTCTATCAATTGGGATGGAGTAAGATAGGGTTCAGCTCATCTGCCACCTGACATGCTGAATAAAAATGGTTCTGAATTTCAGATTCAACTTTCCTCTACAGGTCAACACAACCAGTCTTGCTAGGTGGGGGCCCTAGGCCATGGCCCATAAATACATATTAAGGTATTCCCTGGTTTTGTCTTTAGTCATACGATTTATTTTGTTGACTCCAAAGCTACACAAACACAAGAGCAGAATTCATAGTTAAGTGAAGCATAAGAGATTAAGGAGCGAAAAATCAGTTTAGGAAAACCTATCTTTTGGCTAAAATCTTTGTTTATCCTTCTTTGGGTGATAAATGCAGGTAATTTTTAAATGGTGCACAAATATCTGGTTCAATTTCTTAGATTTAGTATGTAACATCCTTTTTAAAAAGGTAGTGGAGGGGCTCTATATTAGAAAGGACTAAGTTTCATTTAGATAACTAAGTATATAATTCATGGTCATTCCTCCATAAAAGCTAACAAAAAAAATACACAGTAATGATGTAGTATTTAATAAGTTTAAAAGCTTTTTAAAAAGCAGCTTTTGAAATCAAGCTCAAAATGCTGTATTGCTGAGTGTCACCATTATATAAGAAAACTTTTAATTAATAATATTTATATAAAGTTATACTGTAAATATGAACCAAAGAAAAATCATCTTCAGGAAGGATTGGTTTACACAATAAAATTCTGTTCAGGGTCTGGACCACTTTTCTCATACACATCCTATCCTCTACACCTCTCTAAAAGAAACAAACAGTAACTTGAGGGAGGCTGGGAGGATTCCCTTCACAATGTCTATGTATATCAAAGCACCACATCGTACACTTTAAATATCTTACTATTTTATTTGTTGAT